TAAAGCCCTAAGCCCTAAGCCCTTAAATCGTACGAGACATCACTAATGGATGATACATGAATAATGGGATAAGCCTTCATTAACGGGACAAGCCTTCATCAATGGGATAAGCCATGAATATGCCATGGACCTAATAATTATGACAGTCCTGCCTAGAGCTTGAATCGTACGAGACATCACTAATGGATGATACATGAATAATGGGATAAGGCATGAATATCCCATGGACCAAACAATCTTGACAGTCCTACCTGGAGCTTAAATTGTACGAAAAAATCAATAATAGGATAACATGTAAATATACTATGGATTAGAATATGAATCTATAAGTAATCCTAACTTAAAATAGATATTTTAAAATAAAGTTGAAGAGTGCTGGCCCTTCGACGGTCGCACCCCATCAAAAATAATTCCGATTTTCAATCAGCCACTACACCTTTAGAACTTGATCAATTACTCTAAAATTTAGTGACCATAGTCTTTATAGTATAGAATAGAACTTTACAAATTTTGAGCTTCATCCTTGTACGAGAAGCTTTTCCAGTCTACTCACAAAAAGTATTCCAGTCTACTCATGGCCCCACTTTTATCCACCATAGTGAAGGTAAAGTCCTAATTCCAGTCTACTAGACTGCAACCACCCCCATGGGATAGAAATACGGCATCGTGAATAGTAAATATATAAACTATCACTCGAACCGGCAGATATATATATCTAGCCTATATATATATATATTTCATATATTTTATATAAATCGACTAATATCTCCATTTCTAAAACTACTACGTAAAGTCTAAATAGTGCATTTAATAGCCCTTTTCTTGCTGTATATAATATCATATTTTAATATTTTTATATATTTATTTAATACGATATCACCTTAGGAATAACCATAAAAAAGATATATTTCTATGATGGCCGCTATTTAATTCACGTGATGCCGTAAATACGGATACGGTCCTATATTTTTACTACTAGGCGGCTAAGATAAGACGGATACCGATTATACGGGATCCCGTATCGTAATCTACGGTCGCACACCATAAAAAAAAAGGATCGATTTTTAACTTAATATTTAACCACCTTCCTAGGGAGCTATGGGTCTGAAACTTTAATAGAACCTAGATATATAGCCAGAATAGAACTCTATATTTCTTTAGGCTGTTTTAAGCAGCATTACGGAAGATAGACTAGGTCGAAGATTTCACGTTCTACCTAGTTCCCCCACATTAATTATTAGCTAATCAGAGCTCTTAAAAATCTTCTACCTACTAGGTCGAAGGTTCGGAATAGAGTTAGGTCGCACCCCATCAAAAATAATTCCGATTTTTAATCAGCCACTACATCTTTAGAACTTGATCAATTACTCTAAAATTTAGTGACCATAATCTTTATAGTATAGAATAGAACTTTACAAATTTTGAGCTTCATCCTGGTACGAGAAGCTTTTCCAGTCTACTCACGAAAAGTATTCTAGTCTACTCATGGCCCCACTTTTATCCACCATAGTCAAGGTAAAGTCCTAATTCCAGTCTACTAGACTGCAACCACCCCCATGGGATAGAATTGCTCTTTGTTTTGACTGCATCAGAACGACCACTCATCTAGTAAAGCTTTCATACAGGCCGCACCTATTGCTGCAGCATACGGTTGCCATATTTTATTTTTATGGCTGTCAGCATAATCACACACCCCCTTGACCACCACGCAGGGTAGACTATCCCAGACCCCTACACCCTCCATTTCAAAAGCTATCACATTATCTTGCATAGAGATGAGATCTCTATCTTGTCCAGATTTCATGACTGTATCCCCAGATGCGATAAGACCAAGATGAATAGTGGGAGAAGGCGTATGTCCTTGAGCAAGTGCAGTCTGAAGCCGCTTGCGTCGAACAAGTTTATCCTTGTGGCATTTCAATTGATGACACGATAGATCAAACACTTCATCACAGACCGTGCTATTGGTAGAGTGGGCACAGCTGATGCAAGCAACGGGGTCATGATGTTTATGCCGATAAGTAGACTGAAAGAGCTCATCCTGCTCTATCCCTGGATACCGGGCGGTGTCATTGCCAAGGGTCTGATTGACAGCTTTCAGATATTTCTCCACATTGCTACCAATTCGCTTCCGTGCCATCGTCGTCTTGATTTTCGAAAGGAAACCTCGTATCGCCACGTTAGGCCGACCAAGTTCATCGGTTGCAGATGTCTTGCGAAGAAACGCCCCTGGAACTCTTCTGCCAAAATCATGCTGGACAATCCCGTCACTGACCACTATATCCCCGAGAATAATCTCCTCGTGTCCGTTCTTATATGGAACGCCGCCACAAATTCCGACCACCAGAGCGAGTTTGATGTTCGGATAGGTTGATCGTATAGAAGAGGCAGCTTGGGATGCAACGATCTTTCCCATACCTGGAAGGTGTACCAAAACGGCGTGGTGGCGACCCATTCGACCAAGGGTGTATGTGTTTGAGTCTCCTGGCGCGTTCTGATACAGTGTAGAGTCTTGGCAGAACCCATCAAAAAGCGCGCTAACTGCATCGACTTCTAGCGGCAAGGCACAGAATATTGCAACCGTGAAATCTGCCTGAAGGGGAGACTCTGAGGCAGTAATAGTTTTGTTTGAGATGTCTTGGTGAGAAATTGCCTCAGTTGTGTTCGTCGAGGGAAGTCTTTGGATATCCCAGTCATCTCGGTAGGCGTCGGATAATCTTTTCAATGGGACGACAATTTTCTCATAGAGGGCATTCTGTCGGGCTCTGATTTCGTCTACCTCTCGAGATTGCCGCATTGAATAGCCACCAAACAGCTCAGGATTGAGACAGTTATTAACAGCCTCTTCATACAGAGAATGCACCGTGTCTTTCAAATTGCTTCTATGGGCTGTTGTCCACGCCCATGTATAGTAATCATTGATCACAGTTTCACTCAAGGGGTGAGGACACTCCTCACCTGTCAAGGGCTGCTTGACCGCAATTTCGATGAGAAGGATACCCAATGCAAGAATATGTGGATATTGGTGCATGAGATCACTGGCATGATAAAAGTCGTTGGACTTCACAATCGCTCGAGCCAATTTTGTCGTCAGGTATGGATGTGGTTTACCCTGGCCTGTCAGGCCAGTTCCTTCATTCAATAATTGAATACTCTCGTGGGTCCAGGGTGTCATCATCCATGGCGAGTTGTAATATTGCCAGACGGACTTGGCAATAGTATAGGCTAGGTGAGATTTACCCTTATTGGAGATATGAGGAACTTTTTCAAGCCATTGCCCTAGTGAAAGTGCTTCACAAGAGGAAATACCACGGCAGGGGATAGGATTAGGGGGTTCAATAACCTTGAGCACGTTTGACTGGATATAAAAGTGAACAGGGTTCCCACGCTGATCATCGATCAATTTGCAAAATTCTCCCAGCGCGAGTCGCCGCATGCTTTGTGCCACGCGAGAGCGATTTTGTTTCGGCGATAAAGGCTCAAGGGGTGGGCTGGTGAACCCTACTTTCTTCCGCTTCTGAATACCAGTCCGCCTGTGAACCTCGGCCCTCAGCATTAGCTGTATTTGTTGGCTTCATCAGGGGCTTGTCTGCCTCACCTTGGAACCATCACATTCGACTCCTTCCACGGTACAAATGATTGCGAATGTGTCGGAGGAAAAGTGTTGCTTTTAAATACGAGTTCAAATGAAACATCTTCATCCCAGTTTTGGCTGTCGGTGCTTAGTCGCAGCCGTGTCCAGTCCAGGTGACCCGTGCGGCAGCGACACGTAGTATAAATTTGTAATTGCGTGTAAAGCGTATCATTCAAATGTCCTGGATATCCAATATCGCCGTCATCCTGGTATCCCTCCTCCGTATACAACGGCTCTGTTTTATCCACTGTCAAGCAATCCGGAACTAGGCGTAGAAGGGTGTGGTATTCTGGGTTTTGCAGGACAAAATGTACCAGGCCTTCCTGTGTCTCTTTGATGACAGTCTGTCTGATTTTGCTTATGGAATCCTTGTAAGTACGAATTCCCTTCAGAGCTCGAAATCGATGCGCCTCGTTCCGCGACCTCTGCGAAGTGTGTTAGTGAGAGCTGGTTGAATGAATGTATACAATGGCACCCACTGAACATGCTTTGTCGACAAGCTCAAATATGTCCAATAGCTTTTGTCGCCCGATTGCTGTCTCTCTAATCGATGCTACCTGCTGGGATAGAACGAACAGCTCGCATCCTAGGGTACCATAAACCTTATTACGAGTCTGCTGCCCTATGACAATGACTTGGTTGCTGATCCACGGTAGAACCTGACAGCCCAAGTCCAGGACATCTTCGTCGTCCATGAAGCAGGATAAGATGAATCTATGCGGGTTATAAATTGAAGTTAAAGAAGACTGTAAAAACAGGCAAGAGTAGTGTCAGCTAGTGCGGGGTAATTCGGCGAACTGCAGCACGTGATGAGCTAATCCTGAGAGAAAGCAATCCAACCTGCATATGTCAAGATTGTCGAGGTTGTATTCAAAGTTATGGCAGACCAACTTGCCATATACGATGCCACACTGGCCTGTCATCAGGTTTTCCGAGACCTAGGTGCTGTACCTATCTTGGAAGAATGGGCAGAGAACTGCCTAGCTGACTTGAACTTGTGGGCTAATGGGGCTGGTGCTTTGAAGGTGGGAAAGGCATCCCTTGATGCTCGACTATCCTCGAACCTGGACGCAAAGATCTTTGTGGTTAACCTTTTGAGAATGCTGCAAGGATTTGTGGAAAAGTGCGTTGAGATAGGTATTATCGAGACATAACTGTTGAGGAAAACAATAACGACTGACTTATTCACCAGGAAGCGAGGTGCACAATGATACACCAGAAACCTTTGAACTATCCCAGGCTATCCAGGATGTAAATGATATTATGGGCCAACTCAGCAGGATCACAATTTCGATTCGCAAAGCTGGTACAAATGCTCGCATCCAAAAGGCCGATGCTTCCTATGACCCTGATCATCCACAGGTTAAAGCTTTATCTCAGCACCTCCAGCTGCTTTTGCTAGTAAAGCCTAGTAAGAATGGCACTCTGCAGGCAAAGGCCTCTCCGCAGGGCATCCTAGTGCTTTCATCCAGAGACGATACCATTGTGATCGATCCACACTCTTTGACTGCTATTCAGCAACGACTCATTAAAGCAAATTTGAAACGGAGAAATCGATTTTTATATGCCCAGCGCCATGCGATGAAATTGTCTGAGAGACATCAGGTCCCCTCAACATCGATACCGGCACCCCGAAAATTACCCCTGCCACCCGTCCTCAACGTTCTCAAAGGGACTACAGAAGAGCATGGAGTGCCAAAAGTCTATAGTGCAACCACCGCCACCGAAGTACAGGATCCGATTGCACTACCAACGCAAGCCAGTGCCCAGCCGGCAACCACAGTCATCTCTACAATCAGCTCTCGCGTGACGTATCCCAGGCCTCCTCCACTTAGAAGCGATCAGAATGTATTTCAGTGCCCTTGTTGTTATCAGATATTGCCAACTTCTATGAGCAGAGGAAGTCAGTGGAAGTATGTATTGATACCTTGAGGTTTTTAATTATGACTAATCATATAGCGATTTAGGAAACATCTCTCTAGAGATATTCTTCCCTATACATGTATTCTAGAGGATTGCCCTCACCCCGAAAAACTTTACCACGCCAAGAATCTCTGGCTGTCGCATATGTTCACGGATCATGGAGGCATTTTTAACTGGGTGTGCCTCGCCTGCAATGATTCAAGTGCGCGTCCAGTATTCTACGAGAAATCAGCATTCATCGAACATCTAGAGGGAAGACATTTGAGGGGTATCAATCCCCAGCAAATCCCTATGTTAGTCTCTGCCTGGCAGCGGAAAATGTCGATATCAATCCACTCTTGCCCCCTGTGTGGCTTTGAAGGTCAAGATTCAGACGCCGTCTTGAACCATACTGCTGAGCATCTTCATTCATTCTCTCTTAGGTCCTTACCATGGGCACCGGGGGAGGATGGGTCTGATGATGATTTGTACGATGGCTATTATGAAGAACATCCATATTTTAATATAGGAAGATCAGTCGGTACAGAGAGTGAGCGATCGAGATCTACGATGTCATCTGAGCAGAGGGACCTAAAACAGTTACCTGCCGTGGGTTCTGGTGGAGAGACAACGGAAAACAGTCGGCTGACAGAAGAGAAGATACGGGGTATTTTGGAAAATCCGAATGTTGAAAAAGATATGCTGGATGCGTTCTTAAATGGCATTGAGAACCAGGAGTCTTTCCAGGAGCCATCCCCACTCGCCAGCGTCAGCAATCTTGGTTCAGTCCTTGACAGCCAGAGCAAGTATGAAGAGGCGGAAGCCATGCACCGACGGGATTTGGAAGGGTTAGAGAAGGTGCTAGGGCCAGGGCATCCAGACAATGGCAAGGTTCGCGCATTCCAGAAGGTCGCAGCCGGCAAGATGGCGCATCCTTCCATCAAGATCGATACCAACGTCCAAACCGCGAAGCGCGGCTTGGAGGCCGATGGCGATGGCTTCGATGTGCCTGGTGAACAGGGGGATCCCCGGTTGGATGCTGGCAATACGGACGATGTCCCGCCGTTTTTGTGCCAATCAGTCTCGGGTAAGTGAGGGAAGCGGGAAGTATGCGCCTTGTCGGAGAATAGCTAAGGGGAGGGGCAAAGAGATAGAGAGAGCGCCTCGCACACGTGGGAAGACAGCTGGCTGACCGCTTTGGATATATCTGCAGAGATTCACGACAAATTTGAAGACCTCGAATGGATGCAGAGGACGCGACTGACCGAGGCCATGTCGTCCAACGATCCCGCCCACCGTTTTGCCCTCGAGAGCGACCCCAAAGTCAAGGCTCGGAATCGATATTTCAACGTGCAGGCGTGGGCCAACTGTCGCATCCATCTGCGGGTGCCTGAGGGCGAGTGTGATTTCATCAACGCCTCTCCGATCATACTGAAGGACTCGGCCTCGAAGGAAGAGAGGACCTACATTGCGACCCAGGTAGGTTGACAAATCCCTTGGCATGCTCCCCCTTGTTCTAGGCCACCGTTGGGATGTTCCTGACTAACAATGTGCTTTGTTTCGATCGGCAGGGACCCAAGCTTGGACATCTCTCACACTTTTGGCATATGGTTTTCCATGAAAGCAAGGATGTGGCTGTCATTGTCATGTTGACCCAGACCTTCGAGGCTGGCCGGGAGAAATGTGCACAATACTTCCCATTGGATTCGGAGCAGGCTTCGATGATTCTGACAGAAGAGGAGTCGGATCCATTCGTGAACGATGAGAGTAGCCAGGAGGAGGCACCCCGGGACATTGGGAAGGTGACCTTGTTGGAATCAACGTTCGATGCTAAATCACGCTCGGAGATTCGCAAGCTCGAGCTGACCATCGGCTCGGAGTCGAAGATCGTGTGGCATTTCCTCTTTGCCGGCTGGGCGGATTACTCCAAGCCCGAAGGCAGCGACCGCGAGGCACTCCTTGAACTGATCAAATTGACGGCTTCCAAATCTGGGGGACCCGACAATCCACGTGTGGTCCACTGCAGCGCAGGTGTTGGCCGCACGGGAACCTTCATCGCCCTGGACCATCTCCTCCAGGAGCTGGAATCGGGCCAGTTGCTGCAGGTAGCCGATTCCGAGACCGACCCCGTGTTTGAAACGGTCAATCAGATGCGTGAACAACGCATGATGATGGTTTACAACGAGATACAAATGCAGTTCATCTACGAGGTGCTTCGAGAGCAAACGGATATCAAATTGGGCAAGATGCCAGGACAGAACAACGTGTCGCCTGGAAGCCGAATGGATGAACCCCAGTCCGCCAAGCTTGCCAGTTGAGTGACAAGGCTGATTATTTGCCTGCATCGAAGCCTGAATTGGAGGCCGTCCCGGATCAAATTGCATCTCCGACAGAAATTCCCGAGCACTCTGGCCGTGAGTAATGCGTGCCATTTCTCATTCCTCACGGTGCTTTTTCTCCGACTTCTCTAGCACTCGCGGGTTAGAACATTTTGAATGGTATGGTAAGGAACAAGAGGATGACAACACGAGCGCAACCCCGAGTACCCCTCGTTTTCTGTTGCTTCTGCTGTTCATCGTGGTAGACTGGTCGGCCGACCGTGCTCTTCGTCGAGGAATTCCTGTGCGGCAACATGTTCCACGCCCAGGGCGCAGATCCAACCCACGGTGTATTTCCTGCGCTCTGACATGTCCCACTAATGAATATTGAAACCTGCCAAGTCGGAGTCGGTCGAAAGTAATGCTGCTGGTAGTTTCTAACCAGTTTAGTGTTTATTTATTGACTTGTTGTCTTTTTTTTCGAATGTCGGCTGCCTTTTGCGGCACGAGAGATATTTAAGCCAAAGGACTTGTTGCGAGTCAAGCTACCCAGGCAAAGTATGGGACGTATCGGCTTTTCGAAAACAAGATATTGAGAGTCAAAGATTGTTTTATTCGGATGCCTTATTATATAGACTACAGTGCATGCAGTCTAGGGCTTTGTGTTCAGCCTCGCCTTAGCCTCGCTAGCCCTGTCTTTATTGCTCTGCAGTTCACAATTTACCGTAAGGTTTATCATTATGGTAAGAGCGTTTCCGTCCACTAGAGCTTAAATATACAAAACCGAATTACAGTACATGTTACGAGCCAATTCCGATCAGAAGAAAGGAGTACATTTCAACTAAGCAAGAAAAGATGAAAAAGGGAAGAGAAGGGAGGGGACTAAGAACGGGTCAAAATGCCCCCATGAGCCTAGGGATCCTGTCGGGCGGAACCATCCGGCAGAACCTCCAGGTCATGAGGGCAGACTTCCCCTTCTCACGAGATAAGTTGATTCCCGCTCCTTTTCTTCAAACAGATGCTGATTCCCTGCCAGGTCACATGATCTCCAGCCACTCGTGACACTCCCCTATTCGAAATTCATTCAGTCCCTAAATGATCAGCCAGCATTTCTCGGTCCTAATCCTAATCCTGCCATCCTATCGTCGTCCACGTGATCCTCCACCATCTCGTTTCTTTAGGCTGCCAACTTCCATAATAGTAAACGCTTCGGCGGGCCGGGCTTCGTAGGGTACGCGGCGTAATATTCTTCGAGCTTCGTGGGCGCATTCTTGAAATTCCCCGCGGGGTACCACTACAAGTTAACGTCGTGACCCAGCCATTAAACCCGATATTACAGCTTCCGATAGTACCGCTGTGAGTTCAGTATCTTCTCTACTTCCCACTCGTCGTGGTCGTTAACCTATATCGGCGGAGAAAGATCCTATCCCATGGGGGGTATTCGACTGAGCCTGAGTGTTACGGACATGCTAGTCACCAATCAGTTGCGGGGAACACAACCACCGATGGGCCACCAATGAGCCAACCAACTCCAGTCAGCAACAATCACGTGACAGACTGTCAACAAAACCGTGGTCTTTCCATTGTACCCCCAGGATACGGAGTAACTCAGGGGTACGATGATCGCAAGACGAATCGTGACCTATATAATTCCAGTAACTGGCGCTAGGGTAGAACGTCTGTTTAACACTGCACGCGATATCTACCACTATCGGCGCGGTCGTATGAAGTCTGAGACCATTAAGGAGCTGATGCTATACCTCTGTACATTAAGGTTTAAGCTTAAAGTGCAGGAAGCTAAGGATCTTAAAGAATTCTTCTCTTCTAATGAGATCCAGGCATTAAGGGAAGAAAAGAATGAGTGCCCAGATGATGTCGAAGTTAAAGAGATCAGTGACACTAAAGAGCAGGGTGATAAACCTAGTTCTGGGGATCTGATAGATGTTAACGATGACGATGCTACGATCACTGTCGCACCATCCTAGGTGCGTTCATCGGGGAGGAAGAGAAAGCATGTCGAGGATGAGTCGTATGAGCATTATTAGTATGTAGATAGTTTAACCTCACTTAGTATCTTATCAATCAATCTCATTAATCTCATTAATCAGTTAATTCCGTTAATTCCCATGAGAACTCAGTCAATTGGGGGCCTTAGACGGTAATTTGAATACTCAAAAATACTAGGAAATTCTACATTACTTATGCATATGCCAAGAATTGGCATGTTTATATTGTTTGGAGCCCATTGGGCCCCCATAAAAGCCCAGTGGGCTTCTACCTCAGGCCCATGGCCCATCGATGGGCTCGAGGGCTAGGCCCAAAACCCAGCCCATTTGCGGGTTGGGCCTAGGTTGGGCTTTAGGCTTTTGGGCCGGTGCGGAAGTCTACCTAAGATAAGACGGATATCGATAATACGGGTCTCCGTATCGTAATCTACGGTCGCACCCCACTAAAAAAAAAGACCGATTTTTAACTTGATATTTAACCACCTTCCCGGGGAGCTATCGGTCCCAGATTTTCACAGCTCCTTTATATATGGATAGAATAGAATCGTATAAATTTTCAGACTTATCAGACCATGGGAAGTCAGGTATTTCTGAGGCCAAATACCTGAGCCTGACCCACCTTCCGGGAGCCAACAAACCACTTAAAATCCAGATACCTGGCAGGTACAGTGACTGGACATAAGTTCTTGCACCCCCTATAGCCCCACCTATCTCACCGCCACTAGATATTTATACCGCCTACCTAAAACGCGCAGTATAGAACACGCTAAAATAGTACGCGAATCTGCATTTTTGTCAAAAATCTAGGATTAATCTCTTTAAAACTACCCCTTTTTACTTCTTATACACCCTCTCACTATGGTAGCACGGTCTAAAGATCTTACACCTGCTATACGTGAGCGTATATGCGAGCTCCATTCCATTGGATGGGGGTATAAGCGTATTCATACCCGCTATCCTGCTATCCCTCTCTCTACAATTCGATACACCGTGAAAAAGGAGAGCGAGCGACGAGAAGGCGTGTCGAAACCACGATCTGGAAGGCCAAAAAAGCTTACTGAGGCCGATAAAGACCGTCTCTTGAACGCTATACACGGAGACCCGAAGATCACCGCTGAAGATATGCTTACTGAGGTTAACCATAAGGTTAAATACCGCTTAATTCAGCGTCTCTTAAACGCTGAGAATATGCGTAAGTGGCGATGTAGCTGGCGTCCTTTTCTAAAGGAGGAACACGCGCTAAAACGCCTTCAGTGGGCACACCGCTACCGCCACTTCACGCCTAACGATTGGGCCCGGGTCTTTTGGTCTGATGAGTGTACTGTTGAGCGTGGTATTGGTGTCCGTCGAGAATGGACTTTTATCCGTCCGAAAGACCAGCCGAGAGAGGGACAATGTTAAGGATTACCACACCGAGGGAAGTAAGTAAAGCAGATGTTTTGGGCTGCATTTTCTGGCGCTACCCGGCGTACGGGGCTTATCCCGCTCTTTGGAGACCCTAATGCTGAGCGTACTGGCGTCACTGCCTTGGTTATTGAAGATTTATACCGCCGGATCTTACCTATCTTGGTTATAAATCAGGATAGCATTTTTCAGCATGATAATGCTCCAACACATACCGCGTACGTCGTACGGGATGCTTTAGCTGAGATGCAAATTGAGGTTATGGAATGGCCTCCTCATTCGCCTGATTTAAATCCAATTGAGAACCTCTGGGCGTTACTAAAAGCCAAGATCTACGAGCTTCGACCTGATCTCTTACATATGGGGAATAATGACACGACAAAGGAGATACTGGTGGCGACAGCGCAGCAGGCATGGGACGAATTAGAGCTACGCCACTTGAAGCATCTCTCTGAGACGATGCCGCACCGTGTAGAAGCTATTATTGAGAGCCAGGGATGGTATACGCCGTACTAGCTTCCATAGTATGAATTCATTGAGGTTTTGACCGGCAGTATATTATATAATCAAGGGGGTGTGGGCCCTAGGGGTGCAAGAACTTATGTCCACTGACTGTATATGTCCTGGAATAGAGTTAGGGAGGTGTGCGGGAGGAAATGCTTGACCAGCGAGAGAGAGTATAGCTTTGATCGGCCAGAGAGCAGGTAATTGGCCGTGATGGGACTAGTATACTATCTAGTCGGCTATCAGCATGAATCCTAGAAGATCACGCCCTAAACATGATTTTATAAGTACATAAAACTAGACATCCCAAATTTGAATTGCCATTATCCATCCAGATGAATTGAAAACATACAGGTCGTAAGTTATTCCAATCTTAATAAGGAAAAGTATGCTTACCCACCAATGAGAATCATGGGACGATTCTTCATGTTCTTCAGCTCGTCCATGCCAGCATGTTTCTCCTTCTTGCGCTTCACGGCCATGCCGATGATATCCAGGATCCCATGTTCTCCTTCACTAGCCAGGCCCCCAGTGTCACCGAGACGGGTAGCGGCCTGCACAGTCCCTAGTCTTTGTAAAGCTTGCTCGTCGATAGGCTGCCCATGATTCTCCTGTCGGATGATATCTCGCAGCGAAACCTCCGAATTCCCAAAAAGACACACTTTCAAATTCCCGTCACTCGTGATTCGGAGCCGATTGCAGGTACCGCAGAAGTTGTGCGTCATGCTGGTAATGAACCCGATACGGCCCTTAAATCCAGATACTTGATACGTCTTGCTAGTATCATTTTTGTGATCGTCTAGCTTCACCAACGTCGGATATTTCTCTCGGATCACCGCCAGCATCTCCTGGTACGGGAACATCTTTCCCTTATTCCACTTATTCCCATCGAAGGGCATATACTCAATAAAACGCACCTCGATAGGCTTCTCACGACACATCTCGACAAATGGGATGATCTCGCGATCGTTCAAGCCGCGCATTATAACGCAATTGATCTTCAGCTTGATGCTAGCGCCAACCTGGTTCATTTCCAGAATACGATCTATACTCTTCATCACTGCCTTAAATCCACTCCGTCGGGTCATGATCTGAAACTGGAATGGATCTAGAGTGTCTAGGCTCAGATTCACGCCTGTTAGACCTGCTTCTACCATCTGGTCTAGCTTTCGGTGTAGTGAGATCCCGTTTGTGGTGAGGCAGAGCTCTTGTAGCCCATCCTGCCGTAGTTTGCCGATTTCTTGCATCAATGGGACAATGTCTTTCCGTACAGTTGGCTCCCCGCCCGTTAGACGTATCTTTGTAACGCCCTGGGAAACGAAGAGTGATGATAAGTAGACAATTTCCGGTGAAGTCAACAGCTGGGGCTGTGGCGACAGGTCTATCCCTTCCTCGGGCATGCAGTACAGACACCGCAGATTACACCGTTCCGTTACGCTGATCCGTAGATAATCATGTTGACGATGAAATTTGTCCGTGAGAAAGTCGGAAAATGGCCTGACGGTTCGTTCGTCAAAGGATCGCTGATGCCGAGGTGTCTATAGAGGGGACATGGTCAGCCTATGTGATCATCAGGGGTTGTAGATGGTATGGACGCACGTAAGGTATTTCACTTGGTGTCCCCAGACACCGTTTCCCTACCCCAGAATTTCTGGAAGTGCCTTGGGTGCGAAACTTCTGAGATAGCTGAAGTGGGGATGCTGTTCGCCTCGTGAGTTGTCGCTGTGCCATGATTCAAAGAAATATTTATTTTGCTCCAGGGAGAGAGATGACATGGTTTACTGATAGAAGCGTGAATAATTTCACACTTCAATGCCTCGAACTAGCGGCCTGAGCGCAAAGCCAACGCATCATGCATTCCTTACCCCAAACCCCAATCGGACCGCAACGCTACCCTCCATTCCTGCACTGGAAAAGAGACCAATCAATATGCAATGGTGGGCATGGTTTTGCTCAAATGTTCGAGCAAAATTGGCCAAAAATCGTAACTAAAACTGTATCAATACCAAGAGATCGACCATCAGTCGACCCAAAAGCGATACGTCCCCACCATTCTTTCGTCTGCCAACAAAAAGCTGTAGCTTAATGTAGCATCTCTGTGGTGAATTCCTATTCGACGGGAGAACCACGGTTTTGCCAACGGCCCTGTATTTTAGTATGAGAGAGTAAGCGGTTTCCATACCGATGACAAATAGACTGGGTATCCATGAGAGTGAGGATACGAGCTTGGGCTACATCGCTATCCACCTCCCGCTGTCCAAATAAAATTGATTACTATGCTAACGCCAATTTCTGCTTATCATTCCAAATTGAAATTTGTCCTTTCACTGGAGTGCATCCTTGGTTTGACTCTACTTGGTTTTTCATTGTGGAGCAGTTCTTTTCAGAGTCGTGAGATTATTACGATGCCCAACCATCATTCCCGGGCCACCTGCCGGAATTTCCCACCCCCTAGAATACTAGCATGCCTGACATTAAGAGGGCTACCAGACCTCATACGGACGTCCGTATCTGTCCTTTCAAAAACATCCACGGGCCATTCAATTTTGTCGGCTGAATGACTGAGGTCTCAGTAATCCTTATACGCGAAGAGTTGCGGAAATTCTGGGTACGCACCACTATAGGAAATCTGGGCTAGCTTGCGATTTGGATATAGTCTACAGTCCTGCCACTGCAAAAGAACGTGCATCATCTGGAGTATATTACACGGTATACTAGCGAGTTTCTTTTTTCGTGGACATGCTAGCGTGATATAATTGATTAAATCTGAGAGTGCGCGTCTTCACTTTCGGATAAAGGCATGGGATGGGGTATTGACAAATAGAATGGCGGGAACCATCCCAAGAATGCTTGTGGGGATGGGAAGACGATTACCTCATGTCTTACTGCTTAGGTCTCGAGAAAGAGAGTGTCGTTGACGCTATTTCAAACTCGACCACGATCCAGAGTTCGATTACTAAATTTTTCAACCCTGAATCTTCTCTTTTGCTTCGAACCCAGACAGGTTATTATTGAAGCGATAGAAGTCTAATATTGTTCCCAAAACCAGATGATCTAGCCCTCTAAACGATAATTTCCTCGCCTTAACTCCTACGGTCATTCTAGATATACTCGGGACGTGTCTTGCTGGGTTATCGGTTCTTCCCCGCCCTATGCGCTTGATTTCCTATGCTATGTCTTGGTGTTGCGCTTTCGTTCGTGGTCACTAAGCGTTGCTTTTTGCCCTCAGAGCACTCTGGTCCGCTAAGTGAGTTGTTTTCAGGTGGATCACAAGAATCATTAATCAGAAAGATCATTTTAATAACATAACGATAGACAAAAAAGGTTCATCAGCTTTTGTTCGCACAAAAAGGAAATTCGATTCAGCCCAGATCTTTCAAATCATCCCATTTACAACTGCGCTAGTTGATGTACCCCAAAACAAGCCCTGGTGGAAGAGGCACGTGCTTGACCTGGATAATTTTCTTAGTGAACAGGAAGTTTTGTAAAGTTTGCGTTTGGGACCCTTGTAGGGCAGGGGGGTGTCGGGCTCGAAAGAAAACAATAAATCATTCGTCGACATCGCGAGGGTGGGCCTCCTGGTACTTTTCAATTTCTCGGTCGGTAATGCCCGGAACGGCCTCGTATCTGGTTAGAGGAGCAAGTGGAATGTCGTGCTCTTCGAACTGCGCCAACTTTTGTTGCGTGAACTTGTGGGTTTTGTTGACGCTGTAGATCTTGATACGGTGTGCCGAGGATGTGACATGCAGACCCCAGTTCCAGGCTGCTCGCACATTGAGTGGTTGGGTATTCAAAGAATTGTCCCAACACCTGCACACAATCTCAATCCAACCTTCCACATCACAAGGAAGGTCTATCTCCCATGTCCTCCAAGTCCATTTGCCCTTCTTCGATAGCTTCTCTTCTGGAACAGCGTACCAGTTGAAGCCCCCATCGGCTGACAGCTCCACACGTTCGGGCCAACGGCCACCGCCAGAGTAAGCCCAACCCTTGCAATGGATACTGCCGCTGTGCATAATCACTTGGTTCTGCCATGGAGACATAATAGCAGAGCTTACAGGCATCTCCTGAATCTGAATTCCGTCCATAGGGCGCTGGTTATACTTACCCATCTGTTGGTTGAAATACAGATACTCCCTGCTTTGTACAGGTGCCAGGGATGGACTCTTAATGGCCTTTATGCGATACAGCCATTTCACACTGCGAGCTCCAATATATCCCATAACTATCACTCGCAATGGGAATCCGTGAATCTTAGGAAGTGGTTCACCATTCATTTCCCACGCAAGAATAACCTCATTACTCTTGACCTTGGACCATGGGACACTAACAACGTAGTTCCCAACATTAAGGTCTTTCACATATGTTTCAACACCATAGAATTCAAGGTGCTTGGCGTTGTTCGTCAGCCCTCCACAATCTTTGATCAACTTTTTGAGACTTATGCCTTTGTATCTCGCAGTACCTATGGCACCCTCGGCCCATGGAGCCTGGGGAACTCCGTCACCTTGGCCAGCGTACGTAGAGATCTGCTCAATGCGACGAGTTCCTGAGCATTGCATCGTAATGGTCTTCTCCATATGCGGAAAGACTGACTCGTCCATCAGGTCTTTCATAGTATATGTTTTGGGCGACTTGACAAAACCATCGAGTTTTAACTCGAACTTTTTCTCGTCGATGAGGGGGATACCACCATGGTTACGCACAAAGTGAAGTGAGTTTGGAGTAATAACCTTGTCTGTAACCAATCGTTTCGGTGGCTCTCCGTTGTAAGGGAATTGCAACAGATGCAACATTTCGGGGTGTTTCTCTTTCAGAACGGTCTTCCAAGAATCATCGGCGACTCTAGTTAGCTCACCACCTAGTGCGACGTGCCATGACTTGAAGTCATCACCGGGTAACACTGGGTTGGTGGGAGGTATGGGTCCCCATTGAAAGTCAGGACAGGGCGGAAAAGTTTGCGATTTCAAGATTTCGTGTGCTTTAGCTTTCTTTTCAGGGTAATCCTCCCA